GGTACCTATTGCTCTCTCGCCCTTCGAGGTCAAATCCTCTTTGGTCTTGTACTGTATCGAGAAGATGAATGCCTTTTCTGAGCATAAAAGTATCCTACTAGTATAGGTACCAGGGTACAAGGGTTTCGAAGAAATGAAGAAGCTGATCAGCTAGCCAGACCGACTGCTGCCTCGTCCCCGATAGGACCGGAGCCCTGCCTTACGGTGGGAGCCAATACGATAAAGGAGGACCTCAAGAAGGAAAACATTGAAGTGATGGCATTGTATTAGCGAAATATCACTGCAGGCTAAGGGGCCATTTGTTTAATCTGGCGATCTGGTCAAGCGACTTATGTCGCTTCTCTGACTCCTCCAATGAGACACCGTTTCCAAATGTTTATAACGTCCACCGTTGTGTATAAAAGTCAGTTGTAGCGGCCACGCACGCCCACTTTTGTTGCGGCTAGTATCCTACTATTTATTTAGTAGAAGACTAACCACCTTCTCTATTTGATAAATCTAATAAACAGCAAAGTTAAGACCACCGCTGTTTCCTCCGTCCATTTATACCACCGTAAACTGGGCGTAGGCTTGTCTCTTCTCTTCGGCTCTTAAATCAACTATAATGCGTCACGATGGCTTTTTAGGAGCAAGTAAAAAAACTACTTTAGTACTTTTAATAAATAATAATTATGCTTAACATAGAAAAAACATTGTTAGCTAAATGTAAATCAAAGGATTGCCCAAGAAATTCTCATCAGTTCTGGAGAGCTTTTGTCTCTTTGATAAATGCTCCTGAAAACCTGTTGAAATATACCTTACAGTTTTTATTGTTGTAAGCTGCAAATAAATTACTAGTCATCTTGTGTTTTCGAAGATAAATGTGAATAAAATATGCTCTCTGAAATTTAAAAGAGTCACAACTTTAAAGGAATTTTTTTTTTATTCTTTTATTTTTTTACTGAATATAGGTATATGAACACACATGTATAGGTATCTACATATGGACACAAACGATTGTCTGCAGCTCAATACACCGAGCAGGGGTAATAAAAGAAAGTTGCGTATACGCCAAGTCATTCATTTGCATTCAAAGGATAAGTAGATGATACCATAACTGCTACTATGAATTAAAATTTAGAATTACGGAAATGAGTCGCTAACACTGACTGCAACTTTAGTTTTCCTTTTTAGGGCTAGTCCCGAGTCGAACCACCAAACTTGCTCAAAATTATCGAATTTGCTTTTAGGTTTTCTATCATTTAACCAGTTCGGATATTTGCGCGTCGAAGTACTTGTCCTATTCATAGTTTGCTGCTACATTAAATGCTTGCTTCTTGCTTTTTAAGATTCTTCTTTTACTCTTTAAGTCATTTCTTCCACCTCTGTGTATCTCGAAACTTCTACAAAAATATTTTATAGAGCATTCTGTAATAGCAACTCATGTCTCATTGTGGGTTTATTGACTGCTGCTTAGCTAGAAAGAACCAAAATTCTTTCACAAAAACAAAATACTGGCTATATGCTGTATGTGTTCAAGGACATCTTACTGCTATACATTAATTCCAGTCTGTGTGCAATTTTCGCCAAAATTTAGAAAGGATGTATACTTCTGTGCATCACTGAAACAGCATTTCCGGTTTTTCAAGGTGTCTCATCATAACTATTATTACTAGTACATATAGCGCTGCGACCTAGCTAGATCTATTGGGCTAACCTTTATCTAGTCACTCCAATCTTAGGCTATTAATGAAATTAAGCACTTTGGAGGGTGTCATATTCCAGATTCTGGATGGAGCTGTTAAGCGTTCTCCAAGATCCAAACCTGCAGTTCGTTTCCTCAGAGAGTCCCATTTATGTAGATAGTATCTCAGTTTGCAGTGTCCTAGCTAATATCCGGTGAAAGTTCTTAAGCAGCCGTTCAGAGATTCCACGAGATGGAGCTATGAATATTTTGGACTGTCTTGTCGTGCATCATTGGGTTGTAACTTCCAAGTCCTCCCATCACATCAGAAGTTCAGCTTTGTATCCTCTGTATGGACCAAAGAAAGGCTGA